CGAGACAATCCAAGTACCACATAACAGGCCCAGGCTAAGCTTCCTTGATATTATTTCTCGCAATGGAAACGCTACAGCGAACAACCTCTCAAACGCGACGATAACAACGGTTAAAATGGAGACGCAGATCGAAATTTCTTGAGACAGAGACACTAGTTTGCAGAGTATTAGTCCAGTGGTACCTTCCACAGGCCATTCAAGTCCGATAAGAATTCTCCCTATCATTCGAGGCATATAAACTAGGGTCAACAGAAGGTCAGCCAGCACCATGTTCATGATATAACAATTCACGTTATTCCTCATGGTTTTGTTTGTGCAGAAGACACATGCTAGTATGAAGTTTCCAATTAGCGAAGTGGTGATTAAGACGCTATAGCCAATAACCATGAGTATCTTTAAGGCAGTGTTGTCGGTGAACATGAAGCAGCGAAACACCAGTGTAGCATTGATTTCCTGAGATACGTTGTTATTGGGAAGGCGATCAGTCAGTGTAAAGTTCTCCATCACCATACGACCCTTATCTTTGTATAGCAAGACTATAGATCTTCGTTTCAAACTTGATTCCCGCAAAACCCTGCCTTACCCCGTTTAATGCACTCATCATGCTTCGTCCCTGGAAAGATGAGTATTATTTAATCGTACTCGCGGTTTACATTCTTTGAAATGTGCTTAGCCATGAGCTGTACGAGTATTCAGAACTATTAAGAGGCAAAAGCATTCAAATAACTTAAAATCCAACCTCTGGTTGCAATATGCGTAAATACAGCTGTAGTTTAAATGAGATGTGTCAAATCGCGAAAATTAAAGGGCGAAATAGAGTCAACAAACGTCACTCGCGATTCTTTGAACTTGTGATATCTTTTATCCCCACTTTATACACAAAGCGTTCGCTTTGCGAAACAAAGGATATAATATTTACTATTATTATTCTACACACTGTTCACTGAGATAAATTATAAATCCACGGTGCAATTTTTGATTGTACATCCGGTTCATACTACTGAAAATTCTGAGTTCTAAGGGATGACATTATGTTAAGAAAAATGATAAAATGTTTCACTTAAATACACATTTAACTGTAGTGCCTTGGCCTTGCAATATTCACGCAGAAAGCCGGGAGCATCACTTTTTGTTATTTGATATCTAAATTAAAAGCGGGCTAAACTTAAATAATGAAACGAGAGGGAAAATCTGGTGGACGTAATAGGGAAGATGAGTTGGACTCAAAAAAAATTATATAGCATTTTTATAAGACGAAATACGGCGAACAAGATGTACTTCAAGATAATGGAAATGTGATCATTTACCATGCGCGCATGCGTAGAATGGTCGTGAACTTTAAGGGAGATCACGTGGCAGAGAAGATCAAATAACTAATAACGACGCTGTGATAGCATTGAAATCCTCTTTTCATGCGTGTTTTTGTGTGTGTGTGTGTGTGTGTGTGTTTTGTTTCCTTTTAGTAGGTAGTTTTATTTATCATGAATAAAATCATCCATCAGGCAATAAAAAATAGCTAAAAAAATATAACTGATCTATTGAGGGTAAAAACTATGTTGAACATAATATGTTCACAGTAAGCTTATACTTGTCACCTAGATAACAGTATTTATTTTACCATTTAAAAGAAAAAATGACTTTTTCACACCAAAGAACCAATACACCCGCAAAATGAGTAAACACCTCTTGGTCCGGGTGCAGTTTGGCTGAGTCTTCGTTCAAACAATGGAAATAAGACAAAGGGCCACAAGGTAAATGAAAGCAAATAACTTGTCGTCTGACAAATTAGTATTGCAAAAACTAAATTGGCTTTGGCGCTAATGGCTTATTGACGTCAAAACTGTGATAGTAAACCAATCGTGAATTTCTTCTTTGGAATTAACGTACACACGAACGGGAGATTTGCACTCTTGATAAAAGTCTATTACATGTAAACATAGAGTAAACGTGAAGAATTGTTGTTCAAGTAAAAACATTAATTGCTAATCCATTTGCTTCACAACTAACTACACACGGATGATACTCTTTCCTCTTTAAGCAGGAGATCTAGAGAGCGAAACAGTCGCTGAGAAAAGTTGGAGCGATTGCAGGGTAAAGCTGAAGCGGGTTTTCTTTACACTTTGTGCCCTTTTATTCGTAATACACAAACCCAACTGATAAAAATTGTAACCAGGAGTCATTTTGTCCTATCAAAATTCGTATTGGCCACTCATCCACGAAATTTCAGTCAAGATTTACCATTACACACTTGATAATTATGTTAACCAATGATATTAAGAGAGAGAAAATACGGCACTGAATTTTTTCTCTTTGTATCAGTCAGTATAACCCCGAAAACCTATATCAAGGCAGTCAAAACGGCCCTTTTTTCCAGAGACCCCGTTCACACGTCACACGTTACCCGGCTTTTATTTGAAAAGAGATTTTCTTTTAATTTTCAAAAAACGTTGACAATCGCGTCCTCCCTGCAGGTATCGTATAGTCGTTAAGTCGTATATCA